GTGCTCTTGAAGAGTTAGTCATGGAACCAGACAGAGGGGAGTGTGCTGTGGATGTGAATCTATGTGAGGCCACCCTGGACCTGGTGAGAGATTTGAGTGTTATCAAACCAGCTGGAAAGAATAACTACAGTGTTTACTGTAGAGCAGATTTAATATATATTCAGATGGAAAACAGCTAAGAAGTCCACCTTACTAGATGTCAAAAGAGGAAACTAAAAAAAGGTAATTCGGTAAAAAGGATGTTGACAGCAAAAGGTTACTCAAAGCCATAGTAATAGAATGCATACTACATGTTAGGAAAGGCAGACTCAAGAGGTTACCAGTTTGGTTAGCAAGCAATGTCAAGGACGGCATTAGAAAAAAAGAAATCTTTAGAAAATGGAAGTCTTGCCCAAATTAGGAGAATAAAAAAGATCACAAGCTTGCACAAGATCAAGCAAAAAGAGATGTAAAATGCATTTTGAGGAAGCTTTCGCTAATAACATCAAGGCCAAAAATAAAGAAAACAGATTAGTGACAGGAATGTATTTATTTATTTATTTAAAATATTTCTATGCCGCCCCCATCGCAACAAAGCCTCGGGGAGGCTCACAACACACAAAAAAATACAATCAATAATTTAAAAACTGGTACCATCTCGGCTATATATTAAAATCTATAAATACAATAATAATAAATTAACAGTTAAAATAACTTTTAAATAAAAAGTTCTTCGCCTAGCGCCGAAAAGCAAATAATGACGGCGCCAGGCAGACCTCTCTGGGGAGCGCACTCCATAGGTGGGGCGCCACTGCAGAAAAGGCCCTCCTCCGGGTACTCACCTTCCTAATATCCTTCACGGAGGGTTCCCCGAGAAGGGCATCCACTGCCGATCGTAGGGGACAGGCGGGCATATATGGACGCAGACGTTCCTTTAGATAACCAGGTCCCAAGCCGTTAAGGGCTTTTTAGCTAGGGCCACTGGATTTACAGTGGAGTTAAAGAAATAACAGAGGATACAGAGATTGCAGAGAGGCTGAATGAATTTTATCTTTTTATCTCATTTTACTGTAGGCAAAAATAGGGCAGAACTCATATTTTTAGAAAGGGAATAAGAGAAGATAATGTTCTCAACCTTACTGATAAACTGAAAGCTAATAAATGACTATAGTATCCAACCTAGAATGAATATATGAAATTGGTAATCTTCTAAAAACAAACAAGCATTCTGCAACCTGTCCTTAAAATCTTTGTATCAAAAGCCTGGAGAACAGCCAATGTAATATCTATTTTTAAAAAAGAAAAAGGATCTAGGGAATTACAAGCAGGTTACCTTACTGTCCATTCTAGATAAATGGGATAAAAGAAAAATAAGTAGAAGTATATTGAAGAACAAATCCTGCTGAACAAAAATCAACATGGCTTCAGCAAAGTTAAGTCCTGTCTCACTAGCCTTTTAGAGTTCTCTCGGCATGTCAATAAACATATCATATGGTGTGATCAGTAGACATTATTTATTTGGGCTTCCAGAAGTCCTTCAGCACAGAATTCCGAACAAAGTAATCATTCATAGAATAAGGGTAAAAGTCCTCTTTATGGATCAGTAACTGATAAAACAACATCAAGCAGTGCAGAAATAAACAGTAAATTATTCTAACAGGAATGTTAGCAGTGGAGACCCTGCTAACAATGATTAAGATCAGTGATTTCAATTTATCCATAAATGTTCTGGAATTGAGAGTGAGCTCTGATGAGATTGTCTGCTGCTGACTTGAAGTTGTTAGAATGGTTAAAGCAAAAATGTATTGAGAGAGGTCCCAGAAAGATCACTCCAAACTTGGAGAATGGATATTAAAATGGCAAAGACAGTTCAATCTAAGTAAGTGTAAAGTCATAGAATGATATACATTGGGGGTAAACTCTCAACATCACATATGTGATCTGAGCTAGCAATGACTGTTCAAAACAGCTTGATGGAAACATTGATCTTGTGTTCACCTACTGTCAAAGAGGTAAATTCTAATTTAGGCATAATCAGGAAACAAATAAAAAATAAAACTGTCAGTATTATTTTACTCTCTTCTATTATGCAATCAGACTTGGAATATTGGCTACAGTTATGTTCATCACACCTAAACAAATGTAGAATTGTGAAAAGGGCAACTAAACTGATCAAGGAGATCAGCAACTTCTTATGAGGGAACATTACTGTATCTGGGACTGTTTAGAGAACTTAAAGAGAAAAAGTAAGTGGGGGGGGATTATACATGGTGTGGAGAAAGTAGATAAATAGTTTTCTTTCTCTCTCATAATACTAGGACCCAGGCTGATCCTATGAAATTGATTGGTGGTTCAGGAAAAATAGAAGGAAGTACTTCTTCATATAGTGCGTGCATAATTAAATAATGGAATTCACTAGCACAAGATGTGAATTATGGATAGCTTTAAAATTCAGTCAAATTCATAAAAGATATTGTGTGCAATGGTTAGTAGTCCTCCAGTGCTACCTCCAGTATTAGAGGCAGTATGCACTAGCACACTAGTTGCTGGGACCTTTGTTCTGATCCAGCACGTCTCTTATGTTCCTAAGGAAAACAGATCACTTTCACATTAAGCAAATTACACTGAGATCTTAATACACTCCTGATATAACTTCTTACATGAAAGCTCCCAGACTTGAAAGTGCTTAATCACCTGCTGAGTACCATTGAGATGACAGACTATGTCAGAGGAAGCTCCATTCCCCTTTGAAGTCAGGATGTCCATGAAGCATGGTTAACAAGTTTTATTTTCACATAATGCCCTTTTAAATACTTTCCAATTTAGGTTTACGTCAAAGTAAAACTGCCCCCTCCCCTCAAAAACCTTACCCAGATGGCTTGAAAGCTTGAAAGCATTATAGGATATTATGGCAGGGATAATGGAAGTACTTATTACCAGTCCAAGAGTACGGGTATTGGCCTAGAGGTGGAAGTATCTTTAGTGACTTTATCTTTCACCACAATAGACATTGCAAAATGTGGGAAGCATATATGCCTATTATAAGACATACATACAGTGTATCTGGATAACATAATTAGAAAATTAACATAAAAGAAAAGATTTCCTTTAGATGTAATGAGTGCCCAGTGTGCTTTGAAGTTCAAGGGAAAAAAGCTTCAACCATTTTAACACATCATTAAATGGAAAAGTTTATGAAATATGAACATCTACAATCACCACTGCTTAAGACAGAGAAAATAAAATTATTAACTTAAAATCTATGAGGCTAATTATGCTCTGTATTTTCAGTTTTGTAATGCACATTAGGAAAGTTCAATATATTATGTCAGTCAATTGCCTGTACATTACACACACAGTTGCAGAAACCCACAGTCTTCCAAAGGTACAGTTTAACTGTGCATACTGAACACTGGATTGTGGAGAATAGGGAGACATGGAGATGAGGTAGTATGACTTATGGTATTAATACAGAAAGAAGTGAGGGCCTGCTTTCGTAATATATCTTTTCTGTTGCGCAAACATTATATATCCCAAATGCATTAATCTGAAGTATTTCAAGTTGTGCTAAGCCTGTGTTTTATACAGGAAAGTATTCAAAAATATGAAAAAAGACTCCTGAAAGTGCTCCTATTAAAACCTGTGAGATATCAGAAATTTTGCAAAAGAAATTTCACAAAATACCAATGAATCAGTGGTATAAATAAACACACGGGGGAGTAGCTCAAGGTGAATGCCTAGCTGTGGAGGTAGTACTAGTGTGATAAATTTAGATTCTGGAACCAACTTCTTGGAAGCTGTACTACTGGCAATGGATGGGTTGCAACTTACAAGGACTGAGAAGAATGTATTTGGCCAAAGCATGAAGAAATTCACCAAGAGGTCTTTAAACTGAATCCTACAGGGAAGAGAGAAATACACTTGGGTGTAACAATGGACAGAGGCTTATACACCACAACAGATAGAATGACTCTAATAGTAGCCAGTCTTTCAAGAAGGGTAGAAAGAAAGTTAGACTATAAAACATAAGCCTTCAGTGTCTATATACTAAAGTCCAGAATATGAGAAACAAACAGTACAAAGTTAACTGAAACTTGGTAAGATGAGTCCTATGACTTGAATTCAGCAAGTGAGGGTATTACTAGTTCAAGAACAGAAGGAACAGAAAGGGAGGCAGAGTAGTGCTATATACATATTTCTGTGTAGAAACACAGGCGATTGAGTTTAGTAGCTCCACTGAAAACACCTGCATTAAAATAAATGGAGCAAACAATAAAAGGAACATGGTGGTCAGAGTCTATCACCAACTACCCAGTCAAGAAGAAGATAAGGATGAAACTTTTGAAAAGCAAATTGCCTATATTTTAAGGAGGCATCATGTAGTAGTGATGAGCGACTTCAATTTCTCTGATACTTTTTGAGAGACAAGTTTTGCCAAACATTGTCCCTCCAAGAAATGCCTGATTTGAGCTGTTGAAAACTGATAAAAACGAAGACATAAAAGAAAAAAATGTTGGGGCTCTGAGACTTTCCACAAACTCAGGTGGTGGTTGATAGGCAGTGTCACATTTGGGGGCATCCTTTAACCTGTCGTTCTGAGAAGCACACATTAACAAATGCCCACCTTTTGGACATTCCTAGTCATCAGGTTGGGTTGTACCAATAAGTTCCAGTATTCTGGATTGCATGAAAATAGTTGCAATATTTCCAGTCAATAGAGATAAGTGAAATCTTGCATATACAAGTAAGACACACTGATAATGCAGAAATGCCTAAAGAGAAGTTATCCAGAGTGACCAATTTTGAGGGAGAAACGCACGTGTATTCTCTTTTTCGATTTTTGAAATGATTAAAGTGTCTCAAACTATGTGTATACCACATTTATAAGTGCTCTGATTTATCAGAAAATAATGTAACAATTTAAATATAATTGAACAGATGACATGATTGACATGAAAGCTATAGTTTAACCTTCATATCTGTAGTTCGCCCAGATAACATAGAAAGAAAATTAGAACTACCTTCTTCCTTTTTCTTCTTTGCTTCTTCTTCACTCCTCTCTTTAGCTTTTAATGCTTCATCAGCTTTAGCTGAAAATAAATAAAGTGAGGATTAGTTCAGCAATGAACATTATGGTCACACTAGGGGACATATACAAGTGAAGCACAATCCGAATCTATTATTTATTATTTCAGAATAAATTACAGAAGACAGCTATAACTTAAAAATACATAAATAAAAATGGTGGGAGATAAATTTAGAACTAGATCCCATGGTCCATTAAGTGATAATCCTATTTTTGAAAAGGGAATTTCTTAATGTGGATTCCTATTCTCCATGACTTTCAAAATGTATTCTAACTTCTTAAGAACAGTCATTTTGTTTGGCATACAAAACAGGATATAATTCTGGATTGACATCTCCAAGTGAAGAGTAAACCTTTTTCTCTAAGATCTCAAGAAGCACTTAACACTTTCAACACATGAACATCAAAGAAAAAACAAAGTTAGATAACAGAAATCAACCTTCAGAAAACAAAAACAATAGAAAAGGAAGAAACTCGACAAGAATGTAGAAAGGGGCAATGGAATACTTGCATCCCTTTCCCTTGTATACTGCAAGGGAGAAGACTTAACAGAACTACTCCCATACAGATAAATGCTTGCAGAAAATGTTCTGTAGAAGCCAAAGAGAACAGGAACTCATTTATCCACAAAGGATTATATATGCTGTAAGAAGCTACTATGTAAAAGAGCATACTGGAAAAAGGCAAGCAAGGCCTTAAACTTCCGCAGAGATCTTTGAACATAGCTTATGCAGCTTTTCATTTCTTGCAAATTAGATTGAGTCCAAAATACTGTAAATACAATTCCTGTGACCATTAGAAGATGGAATTTACCATGGGTATAAAGGGAGTTTGGCCTAAATACCATTCTGTCCCTGGATAAATATATAACATGGAGAAAACAGTCTTTCCCTTCCTGAAAGAACTGCCAGCCATGAATAAATGTGTTTTCAGTGTTAGGATTTTAAAATAATAAAAACAAAATATTTGGTCAAAAGCTCAAAAGGCATGCCAACCAAGGAAAACTGCATTACAGAGGTATTATTCAAAGTTATCCTCTTTAGGTGTGTGTGTGTGTGTGTGTGTGTGTGTGTATATTAACATTAACAGTCCTCAACACCATGTTTTTAATATTTTTTTTTTGTCTTGGCCATTTGCCAATTCACCACAGGGCTCACAGTATATTTTCCCATATACTTTACTCATAGAACAAAAAGGTTGCTCAGTTCTCATATTTTCTGAAGCATTAAGAATACCAGTAGGATAGGCAGAAAGGCACGCACAGTCCATCTGTTAAACAACCACATTTCTTTCTATTGAATGTTTGCACTAATGACCAAGCATGCTTTAGAGATGATATCTAATGAAGTAACCAAAAGAAACAAGATATATGTTGAAAGAGTCTGTTAAACTAAGTTGTTCTGTTTCATGAGATTTGTTTCTGACTGAGCTAAGCCATTCCACTGTCAAAATCATATTGAGAAATGGTGGCATTCACTCCCCTAGAATGGGATGCATTGGGTTTATCTTCAGTAAATTGTAAATGCTATGGAACAACCTCAGATATGCAGATATCACCACTCTAATGGGAGAAAGTGAAGAGGAGCTAAAGAACCTCTTGATGCAGGTGAAAGAGGAGAGCACAAAAGTTGGCTTAAACACTCAACATTAAGGAAACTAAGATCATGGCATCCAGTCCTATCACTTCCTGGAAGATAGATGGGAAGAAAAGGAGGTAGCGACAGACTTCATTTTCCTGGGCTCCAAGATCAGCGCAGAGAGGGACTGCAGCCAAGAAATTAAAAGACGCTTGCACCTGGGGAGGAGACTACGGCAAATCTAGACAGCATAGTAAAAAGAAGAGACATCACCCTGCCGACAAAAGTGCATATAGTCAAGGCTATGGTTTTCCCAGTTGCAATGTATGGCTGTGAAAGTTGGACCATAAGGAAGGCTGAACACCAAAGAATCGAGGCCTTTGAATTGTGGTGCTGAAGAAGACTCCTGTGAGTCCCTTGGACAGCAAGGAATCAAACCAGTCAGTCTTAGAGGAGATCAACCCTGACTGCTCTTTAGAAGGCCAGATACTGAAGATGAAACTCAAATACTTTGGCCACCTAATGAGAAGGAAGGACTCCCTGGAGAAGAGCCCAATGCTAGGAACAATTGACGGCAAAAGAAGAAGGGGATGGCAGAGAATGAAGTGGCTAGATGGAGTCACTGAAGCAGCTGGTGTGAGCTTAAGTGGACTCCGGGGGATGGTGGAGGACAGGAAGGCCTGGAGCAATGTTGTCCATGGGGTCATGATGGGTCGGACACGACCGCGACTAACAACAACATTTTAATTCCTTAAATATGGTTAGTCATCATGGTTAATCAAACAAACCACTTTTTCTGCACTCAGAATTTTAGGGCTGAAATACAGGAACTGAGATGTGTGTCTTAAAAATCAGGTTAGTGTCCCATTCTTATCCAGAAGCTACCTAGTGCTTATACCTACTGTTGCGATCTCTTCCCCATCCTCTTCCACAAGGTAACAGACAGGAGCAGTGAAAGGGTGCCATGTTTCCAGCAGGGAAAGAACCCATAAGAGCTTGTCATAGCCTGGTGCAGTGTAAAAAGATTAGGGCTCATGCCACACCTGGACTTGCACCCCTGAAGAAACATGCCACTGTTTTCTACTTCCTCCTGGAGATAAGAGTGTCGGTTAATGGATTATGGATATACATTCTTCAGTGCAAATTATAGCAGCACTACTTAATTCATGTTATGACAGCACCTTCTAAAAAGAAGTCCCTTTCCTTTAGAAACATCTTCAGTTATTACTTAATTATCTACAAGTTGCTCAACTGCAGGGGTTTTAAACACTTTACTACAGATGTTAAAAGAAGATTAAAAATATACAGCACAGTAACAAGGGACTATCAATATACTCTGTAAATTAATTAAATTTCTGTTCTAGCACATCATTTATTCCAAAGCATTAATGTCTCAAAGGGGCCATTCTCTTTTATTGCCATCTCACTGCCTGACGAGTGAACTTAGAATAAGTCTCTAACAGCATTATAGTTGATGAAATATTAAGTTTTTAAAAGTATTGCCTTGTCAAAAAATAAAGAATCAAAATGTATGTAGTTGGACTTTAGACCAACCAGTTCCTACTATGTAATAAATCCATTACACACTTAGTATAGAGCAATGGTGTATTCTTTTCTAGGTTGGATTGCTTTACCGACAAGTTACTTATAATGAGTATTCAAATAAAGTAGTAAGCATGAAGTGTGAATGTTACACGACTACAACTTTAAAGTTTGATGTCTCTTCGCAGTCACTGCCCACACCGTCTTGAAATACACAATTTAAATACTGTTGTTCTGAAATGATAGGCACAATTATAGAGACATCTGTTTCCATTTACAAGCTTTTAGACACACTTAGACTACATTTAACATCATGAAATATTAAAACTTTTCTGCCAGCAATATCTTTACTAGAATCTATTAAATTAGATAATAAAAACAAACCACTGGTAACTGTAAAGAGTTTTACTTCATTTACACTTTATTCTGCCTAGTAGCAGGGCAGGGATAATAGAAATTCCATTGAAATTCAATTTTGGTTATAAGTGTAATTGTAGCTATACCCCTTGAGTCATGTAAAATGCTCAGCTTATGTTTCTTTCAAATTATCCAACTTGGATTCACATTCCACTCCTTACAACCAACTTCAATATGTATTAGCAAAGCTCATTAGAATGAAATTTAATAATGCAAACATTAGGTGGGTTTCAAGATCCTCCATTATCAACACAAGATGGATTGCTTATACATAGCTCTTGGGCCAACCAGACAAAATTTAGATTCAATAAACTACCAGGGTTAAATTTGATTTATTTATTCCACTATGCCAGTTTGCTCTTCATAACTGATTTGTTCTCTGCATAGGGACAATTCACTAGATTTTCTGAAAGAAATCAAAATCATAAGCGTAAAAAACCAGATGATTAGGCATGCATTTTTATTAAATGCAACCTATGCTCTACCAATTTTCTAGAATTTTATGCACTTGCAGAAATTTTATAGGAAATGTTCACTTTACATTGGCTCATTAATTTAAACATTGCAGCAAGAAGGTAACAAGAACACACATTTTAAATAATGTCTGGTTTAATATAGCCCCCAAAATGAGATAGCCTGCTCAGTCCAGTTAGAAGCATATTCCACTGAAATAATTAACTGTTTCCAAGTAAATGGGCTGGGGACATACCTGCAATATATTTTAAAAAATCTAAGGTATCATTGTTGATGCAATAAAGGTGTTAGTGAGAGTGTGGGAGAGGGAGAACTTTGCTTTTTGTCAATAATAAAAATATGGTAGAATTTCAAAAAGCATATTCCCGATAGCTGTGCTTCTTGTACTATGCAGGACCCCATGAGGCTAACTCAGTAAATGTCCACATTGCTGCTTACTCTACTTCCCTTCAGCCTTCATCCAGGACAGAAACCCTTTATTTTTTGTGAAAAAAATGACAGGCAATATGGTAGGAGAAAGCCATATCCAAACTTTCCAATTCAGCAAAGGTCAGTACACAACAGCCTTCCCAACCATGCTTAACATTGAATGCATATCCAAACCACTGTGAAATTCAATGAAGATACACCCTCTGCATCAGGATGCAAGCTGTCATTTCCTGATCATCTAGTTTTGTCTTGCATGGTCTAGAGATTTTCAATAAGTTGCATTTGATTATTGAATTAAAGCATATTTGAAAATGTATAAGCCAAGGAAAACTAATTTCAATACATTTCATCTTCCTCTGACCAGTAACTCTCTAATTTCGTAATATTTTTACAGAGGAGTTTGCATTATTTCCTTGGACTCAGAAGGCTCAGGTCATGAAGGCACTAGTATGCTAGCAGCAACCTCAGGTTATTAAAGTCTGAGGTTGCTAAAACAGTCCAGGCCTCTTTAAGGATCAAAGTTTTAGAAATTATAGTGATGGAGCAAGTCAGTCTTAAGGCTGTT